ACACACACACACACACACACACACACACACACACACAAGCATTATTGTTTGCATTATATAAAATGTGAGGGTATATCAGCAGCAATTTTTTGTTTTTCCTTCAGTTTCATACTATAGAAGTAATACTTGTATATAGTAAAAACAATTGAATCAGAATGGAAGGAAATTGCAATAAAAAAGAATCTCTCTAGCTGTACCACAATCTCATTCTACACAAGTAACCACTCTAACTGGTTTCCTTCTTGCAATATATTATGCCACATATAAACACATATAAACATACATTTCTACCTGTGAGGCAAATATCTTCTTAGGAATTTAAATACAGCATTTTTGAAGGGAAAGAGAAACACGGATAGCTCAGGAGAATTTAAGTAACAACTGAAAAATACCTTAAAGTTGAAATACTGTCGTTTTCTTACCATGAATCTGTCTTGCATCAAGATCTACTTTTACTAATTGTCCCAGTGACCCTAAGTCACAGTGTTCACCTTGTCCTTCTGCTCACAAATATGCCAAAGGAGCAGCAAACAATAGAAGACCCCTAAAACTTGAAAGCTTATACCAATACTGCGGACCTACACATTGTCTGCCATCCAAAAACTCACCAGGCCCGACCCTGCTTAGCTTCCGAGATCAGACCAGATCAGGTGCGTTCAGGGTGGTATGGCCATAGATTGGACTTACACATTGTCAAAGTCAAACAGAAATGATAGGCAGTCTGCTCCCCTTAATATTTTTCCTTTTTAGAAAAACACATATGTGCCCCTTGACTGACTCCAAGTGACGGCAGAGATAAAAGCCATCTATGTGTGCTTCCTAAGCTTTACATTGTCAGAGGCGGACACCCCCAAAAAGACCTGTCTCTTCTTCCTACATATGTATTACATAATTAAAAGCTGCCAGGAGTAGCCTTTTCTAAATTTTTTGCTCGTGATACAATCCCTGCTTAAAACATAGGATCTTTTTGTCTGCAAATAACAGTCCAACTCACAGAAGACTGATTAAAAACAACATGTATTATCACATATAAAACAAAAGGGGTAGCTTGAGTTGGTTTAACCAGTTTATTCCTTTGCGACCAAATTCAGTCACTGCTACAGTTCTAGCTGTTACATAGAGGTCTGACAATTCCTTCCTGTATAACTTGCTTAGAAGTGGGGGAAATCTTTTCTAGAAGCCACCCAGCAGACTTCTTTTCATACCTGCACTAAACTGATCGCCGGACCTAACCCTTTGAGGCTGAGATCTGAAGGACACTACTGTGCATAAATTAGGCACCTGAGAAAACTGAGGTTCAGTCAGGAAAAAAGGACTAGGAAGAGGGTGGAAAGGGATGCTGATGTGCATTCTGCCCTTTTCCTAGCTTTGTCTTGAAATATGTTCCCTACACTTTGGGAGAGGTAGAGATGATACATATTTAAGATTGAATTTGAGCTATCCGAGGAGGAACTTTCATAATTTGGGCCTCACAGCGTGTTGAACCCTGTGAACCTGCCTGCCCTCCTGATTTGGGGGTAAACTAAGTCAACACGTGTACTATCCAAGTCAGTTCTCTATGCTGGGGTTCATGATCTCCCAGATGTGAAGGTGCACATGGCCCTGGGGGAAGGCTTAGTTTTTCGGTGGCTAGAGGAGGTGAGGATGATCACAGATAGTTCCAGGGCAGGCCGTTGCTTCACCATAATTCTAAAACAGGAACTGCTCAGTGTGTATGGCAAAGCTAATCACCTTTGCTTCCCTTTGAGAGGAAAATGATGAGGTGTTGGCTAAATTCCCTTTCCTCGGGACCCAGATCCAAACAGTGCTGCTGTGCACCTGGCCATGGATGCCAATGCCATGATTTCACAGTTTGCTCCGGGGCTTGGATGGGGGTGAGGCAAGGTCACAGGATGTGTGGGCTGAGAGGGCTTTGCAAACACAGCTCTGCTTCAGGGCAGCTTCTGCCCCAGCCCCAGAAACTCAGGCCCTCTCCGGAGCATGTTCTGCTTCCTCTCTAGAGTCCATCACAGACCTTCTACTCCTCACAAGCTTACTGGACAAGTTCCTCTCCTGAACACAACCTTCACAGTGTATTATACAGAAATAATCGACTTGAAACCATGCGGGGAGGTTTCTAAGACCTAAGGGAACTTTGTAACACTAACTAGCATTCATTCTTTCAGCATTTTCCAGGTCTTCCATGATATGTTATATGTCAAAGCACACAAAGGTGAACCACTCCCTGCCCTCAAGGATGTTAAGGTCTAGTAAACATAGGGGCTTATCGACTGGCCAGCAATATTCTCAATTCTGAATAATGGTTACCTCTGGAACTACACATAGATAAATGTCCCTGGCCTCAAAGCCAACCTTAATCAATGTTTGTAACAGGAAAGAACAATTGGAAAGTTGTTAATTTTTCTTTTCCAAAGGGTAAGTTTTTTACTATTATTCATTTTTGTAGGTACATAGTAGGTATATATTGTATGAGGTACATGAGGTACAAGTATGCAAAGTGTAATAATTACATCTTTGAGAATGGGGCATTCATCCCCTCAAGCATTTAATCCTTTGTGTTACAAAGAATCCAATTGTATTCTTTTAGCTATTTTTAAATGTACAACTAAATTATTATCACTATAGTCACCCTGTTGTGCCATCAAATATTGGGTCTTATTCATTCTTTCTATTATTTTTGTACCCAAAGGGTAAATTTCAGTTTTACTCCTGATGAGTAGGCTGTAGGTAGTTATAAGAGAGGCTAAGCTTGGCTCCCTGATGAGAAATTTATATGCAAATGGCAGCACAGTTTCCTTTGTGAATAGTCACAAATGGTCATTTATTAAGGACAAGAACCTCTTGGGTAAACAAAATAAAACAATCCCCCAAATGCTATCATATTGGTCTTGCAGTCTTAGCAGAGGATAATTTATTAATTTGTTAATTATAATCCTCTGTACTTCCCTTTTTTAAGCACAGATATTACACTGCCAGAGTGAAAGTTTCAGTGTTAAGCATGGTACTTGATTTTACGCAGACTTACAAGTTAGTGGAACATTTGCCAGTTCATTCAATTACGTTTCCTTTTTGTTTGGCTTACTTTAAAAAACCAGACTGCCCCTCTCCCTGGAGATTAAG